CAGTGTCCGTGTCTCCACTGCAGTAGGACCACTCGGCAACGTCATGAGTTAATGCTGCTAGGCTAATGCTGCTAGGCTAATACTGCTGGGCTAATGCTGCTAGGCTAATACTGCTGGGCTAATGCTGCTAGGCTAATGCTGCTAGGCTAATGCTGCTAGGCTAATGCTGCTGGGCTAATACTGCTAGGCTAATGCTGCTGGGCTAATACTGCTGGGCTAATGCTACTAGGCTAATGCTGCTAGGCTAATGCTACTAGGCTAATGCTGCTAGGCTAATACTGCTGGGCTAATGCTGCTAGGCTAATGCTGCTAGGCTAATACTGCTGGGCTAATGCTGCTAGGCTAATGCTGCTAGGCTAATACTGCTGGGCTAATGCTGCTAGGCTAATGCTGCTAGGCTAATACTGCTGGGCTAATGCTGCTAGGCTAATGCTGCTAGGCTAATGCTGCTAGGCTAATGCTGCTGGGCTAATACTGCTGGGCTAATGCTGCTAGGCTAATGCTGCTAGGCTAATGCTACTAGGCTAATGCTGCTAGGCTAATACTGCTGGGCTAATGCTGCTAGGCTAATACTGCTGGGCTAATGCTGCTAGGCTAATGCTGCTAGGCTAATGCTGCTAGGCTAATGCTGCTAGGCTAATACTGCTGGGCTAATGCTGCTAGGCTAATGCTGCTAGGCTAATACTGCTGGGCTAATGCTGCTAGGCTAATGCTGCTAGGCTAATACTGCTGGGCTAATGCTGCTAGGCTAATGCTGCTGGGCTAATGCTGCTAGGCTAATACTGCTAGGCTAATACTGCTGGGCTAATGCTGCTAGGCTAATGCTGCTGGGCTAATGCTGCTAGGCTAATGCTGCTAGGCTAATGCTGCTAGGCTAATACTGCTGGGCTAATGCTGCTAGGCTAATGCTGCTGGGCTAATGCTGCTAGGCTAATACTGCTAGGCTAATACTGCTGGGCTAATGCTGCTAGGCTAATACTGCTGGGCTAATGCTGCTAGGCTAATGCTGCTGGGCTAATGCTGCTAGGCTAATACTGCTAGGCTAATACTGCTGGGCTAATGCTGCTAGGCTAATGCTGCTGGGCTAATGCTGCTAGGCTAATGCTGCTAGGCTAATGCTGCTAGGCTAATACTGCTGGGCTAATGCTGCTAGGCTAATGCTGCTGGGCTAATGCTGCTAGGCTAATACTGCTAGGCTAATACTGCTGGGCTAATGCTGCTAGGCTAATGCTGCTAGGCTAATGCTACTAGGCTAATGCTGCTAGGCTAATACTGCTGGGCTAATGCTGCTAGGCTAATGCTGCTGGGCTAATGCTGCTAGGCTAATACTGCTAGGCTAATACTGCTGGGCTAATGCTGCTAGGCTGATGCTGCTAGGCTAATGCTGCTGGGATAATGGTCCTAGGCTAATGCTGCTAGGCTAATACTGCTGGGCTAATGCTGCTAGGCTAATGCTGCTGGGATAATGGTCCTAGGCTAATGCTGCTAGGCTAATGCTGCTGGGCTAATGGTCCTAGGCTAATACTTCGGGGCTAATGCTGCTAGGCTAATGCTGCTAGGCTAATGCTGCTAGGCTAATGCTGCTGGGATAATGGTCCTAGGCTAATACTTCGGGGCTAATGCTGGTGGTTTTGGTGCTTTCTCCTGGCGTCAGAGCTTGCGCTAGCTTTAGCCAATCAGCGCTGGGTCAACCTCATGTCCCATCAGGGCCCAACGGAGTACCTAGCCTGGAGAAGGGACTCCGTTGGACCCCGTAAAAGGTCCTGTAAATGGCCCCAGTGGAGACACCGACGGGGCTGGCCCTGGAAAACTACCCGAAGTCCCTGCGGTGGAAACGTGGCTCGTCCTCTCACTCAGAAAGACCCTGTTCCGATCGGGAGTCAAATCCAGGACCTTCTTGTTGAGAAGCGAGAGTGCCCTTGCTAACCCAAAGTAGTCTGTGAGATCATAAACACAAGTTCACTGTGTCATCCATCCAACTCCAGCTCAGCCAATATAGACAAGTCGTTCCTCGTTCTAAAGCTCGTGCGTCTGGAAAGTGCCGCTGCCTCGTCTTTATGTCTCCACAGAACCCAAAATGTTAAAAGTTGTAATCTGCTCTAAATCTGCTCTAAATCTGCTCTAAATCTGCTCTAAATCTGCTCTAAATCTGCTCTAAATCTGCTCTAAATCTGCTCTAAATCTGTTCTAAATCTGTTCTAAATCTGTTCTAAATCTGCTCTAAATCTGCTCTAAATCTGCTCTAAATCTGCTCTAAATCTGCTCTAAATCTGCTCTAAATCTGCTCTAAATCTGTTCTAAATCTGTTCTAAATCTGCTCTAAATCTGCTCTAAATCTGCTCTAAATCTGCTCTAAATCTGTTCTAAATCTGTTCTAAATCTGTTCTAAATCTGTTCTAAATCTGCTCTAAATCTCCAAAAAACAGTAAACTCTGGTTTGTTTAACATTAAAATACTGAAGTAGCAAAAATACATAAATAATGAACAACACAAAAACGGGTCCAGCCCCACGTGGCCACTCCTGCTCGAATAATAATAAATGTGAAAAAGATCAATTTGTTCCTGTTCTTTGTTCTTTGTTCTTTGTTCTTTGTTCTTTGTAGATTCTGATCTGAAGAAGGTCAGAGGTCAAAGTGTGTCCTGGAGGCTCCGGGACACACTCACTGTACTCTGCTGTCGTCACGGTGACACAGGCATTTACTGAATAACCAGACTACAATGTGGAGGAGGTGAGAGACAGGAGGCCCCTGGACTCTGTGGAGGAGGTGAGAGACAGGAGGCCCCTGGACTCTGTGGAGGAGGTGAGAGACAGGAGGCCCCTGGACTCTGTGGAGGAGGTGAGGGACAGGAGGCCCCTGGACTCTGTGGAGGAGGTGAGGGACAGGAGGCCCCTGGACTCTGTGGAGGAGGTGAGGGACAGGAGGCCCCTGGACTCTGTGGAGGAGGTGAGGGACAGGAGGCCCCTGGACTCTGTGGAGGAGGTGAGGGACAGGAGGCCCCTGGACTCTGTGGAGGAGGTGAGGACAGGAGGCCCCTGGACTCTGTGGAGGAGGTGAGGGACAGGAGGCCCCTGGACTCTGTGGAGGAGGTGAGGGACAGGAGGCCCCTGGACTCTGTGGAGGAGGTGAGAGACAGGAGGCCCCTGGACTCTGTGGAGGAGGTGAGGGACAGGAGGCCCCTGGACTCTGTGGAGGAGGTGAGGGACAGGAGGCCCCTGGACTCTGTGGAGGAGGTGAGGGATAGGAGGCCCCTGGACTCTGTGGAGGAGGTGAGAGACAGGAGGCCCCTGGACTCTGTGGAGGAGGTGAGGGACAGGAGGCCCCTGGACTCTGTGGAGGAGGTGAGGGACAGGAGGCCCCTGGACTCTGTGGAGGAGGTGAGGGACAGGAGGCCCCTGGACTCTGTGGAGGAGGTGAGGGACAGGAGGCCCCTGTGGAGGAGGTGAGGAGCTCCTTCAGTGGAAGATTGAGGCCCTCAGTGCAAGAAGGAGCAGCGCTGTCAGACTGTACAATAAGTCACTTTGATGACCTGCAGTAGGACTGTAAGCACAGACCCTGATCCTGCTCTCAAGAGACTGTATTTGGACACATGTGCACACTCCTGTGGACTCAGGGAGGGGCTGGTGCTCTGTGACTGGGTGCAGCTCTGACTGCCACCCCCCTGACCCAGAAATGGATTAAGGGGAAGAAAATGGATGGATGGGTTCCACGTCTCTTTTACTGTGTATTCTGTTTACTTTTTGTGAGCTAGTGTCAAATTGTGCTGCTACGAAACGCCCAGTGTTTTGAGTCCGACGAGGGATCTTGGACGTAGATGTGAGCGCTCAGATCGCAGAAGAGTCCAGTACAGTCTGAAGCATCAACCGTGAACTATGACCTTTAAACTCTGAGATTCTGAGGTTCAGTTTGAGCTGGAGCCAAGTGCAACGATTGAAAACGTCGCCCTGTGTCTGTCCAGCTTGACCACACTCTCTCTATGGGTGTTAAAAATGAAACTAAATGTTACCGAGCACAGACTTAAAACAGAGCATTCCTCTGAAAGAGCCAACAGGACACACAGGACTAGGTCTGATTTGACACGGGTCAGAAAACACGCCTCCTCAGTGTGACTGTCCTCCTGACACAGAGGCAGTGATACAAGGGAGCGGAACCTGAAATACCAGTGTGTGTGTGTGTTTGTTTGTGCACCTGCAGTGGGTATGTCTGTGTGTGTGTGTGTGTTTGATTGTACACCTGCAGTGGGTATGTCTGTGTGTGTGTGTGTGTGTGTGTGCACCTGCAGTGCGTATGTCTCTGTGTGTGTGTGTGTGTGTGTGTTTGTGCACCTGCAGTGGGTATGTCTCTGTGTGTGTGTGTGTGCGTGTGTGTATTTGTGCACCTGCGGTGCAAATGTCTCTCTGTGTGTGTGTGTGTGTGTGTGTGTTTGTTTGTGCACCTGCAGTGGGTATGTCTGTGTGTGTGTGTGTGTGTGTGTGCACCTGCAGTGCGTATGTCTCTGTGTGTCTGTGTGTGTGTGTGTGTGTGTGTGTGTGTGTGTGTGTGTGTGCACCTGCAGTGCGTATGTCTCTGTGTGTGTGTGTGTGTGTGTTTGTGCACCTGCAGTGCGTATGTCTGTGTGTGTGTTTGTGCACCTGCAGTGCAAATGTCTCTGTGTGTGTGTGTGTGCGTGTGTGTATTTGTGCACCTGCGGTGCAAATGTCTCTCTGTGTGTGTGTGTGTGTGTGTGTGTGTGTGTGTGTGTGCGTGTGTGTATTTGTGCACCTGCAGTGCAAATGTCTCTCTGTGCGTCTCTTTGTGTGTGTGTCTGCGTGTCTCTGTGTATGTGTGTTTGTGTGTCTCTCTCTCTGTCTGTGTGTGGGTGTGTCTGTGTGTGTGGGTGTGTGAGTGTCTGTGTGTGTGAGTGTGCGTGTGTGTGTGTGTGTGTGGGAGGGACGGCCCCAGATAAAAGTGTGTGCACATGAGTCTTTGCTTCAGTTGTGTGTGTGAAGCGCAGCAGGAACCATGAGTGGACCAGGTGAGAGCTTTACCCCAGACTCTGATGGTCTTTCTCACATTAACAATCCTCCATCTTTTCATCTCTTTGCTCCAAACCCCTCTCTCTGTAACTCCATGTTCTGGGAAAGTTTGCAGGAAAACTGAGGCTGATGGAAACGTGGTGTGTCCAAGATTTGTGTTTTTAAAAACATTAAAGCTCAGGTCTCTAAGTTTTTTCATTCTGTCTCCCTCTGCTAGCTTCTTTCTTTTGCTAAAGTCAGAGATTTATGCTAGCTTCTTTATCATGCTAACTTTGGAGATTGTATACTTTTATCCTTAAGTACTTATAGGATCTATTAATGACAATCTTAATCCAAACCAGTGGTAAAAATAAATAAAAACCTTTTCAGAGCCGGGAACTAGAAACATGGTAGACGTTCTATTGTTCTATTGTTGTGGTTGGAAAGTTACGTCCCCCAGCTTTAAGTCCGCTCAGTCGGTGCACAGAGGGTTTTATGGACTTCTGCAGTCGTGTTGTTGTCGAGTCTGATCTTGGCATCTCTGAATCCTGAGTCACGGTCGGATCCTAATCATCCTCAGATATTGTTTTTCTCTCTTTGGACTTTGCCATAGTTTGTTTGAACCCTTCAGGAGCAGGAGGTTTCTCTCAAATCTAAACCAGTCTCTCTTTATGTACCTGCAATATGAGTAAAGATACTAGACCTCTCTCTCTGGTCTCTCTCTCTCTCTGGTCTCTCTCTCCATGGTCTCTCTCCCTGGTCTCTCTCTCTGGTCTCTCTCTCTCTGGTCTCTCTCTCCATGGTCTCTCTCTCCATGGTCTCTCTCCCTGGTCTCTCTCTCTGGTCTCTCTCTCTGGTCTCTCTCTCCATGGTCTCTCTCTCTGGTCTCTCTCTCTGGTCTCTCTCTCTGGTCCCTCTCTCCATGGTCTCTCTCTCTCTGGTCTCTCTCTCTCTGGTTTCTCTCTCTGGTCTCTCTCTCTCTGGTCTCTCTCTCCATGGTCTCTCTCTCCATAGTCTCTCTCTCTCTGGTCTCTCTCTCTCTGGTCTCTCTCTCCCTGGTCTCTCTCTCTGGTCTCTCTCTCTGGTCTCTCTCTCCATGGTCTCTCTCTCTCTGGTCTCTCTCTCTCTGGTCCCTCTCTCTGGTCTCTCTCCCTGGTCTCTCTCTCCATGGTCTCTCTCTCTGGTCTCTCTCTCCATGGTCTCTCTCTCCATAGTCTCTCTCTCTCTGGTCTCTCTCTCTCTGGTCTCTCTCTCCCTGGTCTCTCTCTCTGGTCTCTCTCTCTGGTCTCTCTCTCCATGGTCTCTCTCTCTCTGGTCTCTCTCTCTCTGGTCCCTCTCTCTGGTCTCTCTCTCTGGTCTCTCTCCCTGGTCTCTCTCCCTGGTCTCTCTCTCCCTGGTCTCTCTCTCTCTGGTCTCTCTCTCTCTGGTCCCTCTCTCTGGTCTCTCTCCCTGGTCTCTCTCTCCCTGGTCTCTCTCTCCCTGGTCTCCCTCTCTCTGGTCTCTCTCTCTCTCTGGTCTCTCTCTCTGGTCTCTCTCTCTGGTCTCTCTCCTGACTTGTCTGTTGTTCTGTGGTCCTCAGCGGTGGTGAGTGTGAGTTCGTCATGGATCCAGGAGCAGTTCCGGTGCTGCATCTGTCTGGACGTGTTCCGGGACCCGGTCTGCACTCCCTGTGGTCATAACTTCTGCCTGGACTGTATCGAGGGCTTCTGGGAGACCAAGGCTCGACCGGAGTGTCCTCTCTGCAAAGAGGTCTTCTCCTGCCGCCCAGAGCTCAGGGTCAACCACAGCTTTGCAGACATCATCCAACATCTGCTCAGGTGAGAGAGAGAGCAGAGAGAGAGAGTAAAGAGAGGGAGAGCAGAGAGTGTGAGACCAGAGATAGAGCAGAAAGAGAGCAGAGAGAGAGAGAGACTAGAGGGAGAGAGAGAGCAGAGAAAGAGCCCAGAGAGAGAGAGAGCAGAGAGAAAGAGAAGAGAGAGAGTAGAGAGAAAGAGCAGAGAGAGACCAGAGAGGGACCAGAGAGAGATCAAAGAGAGAGAGAGACCAAAGAGAGAGACCAGAGAGAGGGACCAGAGAGAGACCAGAGAGAGACCAGAGAGAGATCAATGAGAGAGAGAGACCAAAGAGAGAGACCAGAGAGAGGGACCAGAGAGAGACCAGAGAGAGAGACCAGAGAGAGACCAGAGAGAGAGACCAGAGAGCGCCCCCTGCTGCCTTTTATACCTTCCTGTATGTTCACAGAAACCTGCCGAACCCTGAAGTGCAGCGAGCGGACAGCCCGGACCCCTGCAGCCCGGACCCCTGCAGCCCGGACCCCTGCAGCCCGGACCCGTCCCCGCGGCGCCCTCTGGAGGACCTGCTGTGTGACGTGTGCTCTGAGGCCCAGGCCGTCAGGTCGTGTCTGGTGTGTCAGACCTCCTACTGCCAGCTCCACGTGGCCCCCCACCTGTGCGACTCGGTACTGCGGCGTCACAGCCTCACAGACCCCGCCTCCTTCCCCTCCCCCCACCTCTGCAGGAGGCACCAGCGCCCCCTGCTGCTCTACTGCCAGAAGGAACGCACTGCAGTCTGTGAGAGCTGCGGGCACAGGGAGCACAAGCAACACCGCACCATCAGTGTGGAGAGAGCCACCAGGAGAGTCAAGGTGAGAGACAAGAGAGAGAGACAAGAGAGAGAGACAAGAGAGAGAGACAAGAGAGAGAGACAAGAGAGAGACCAGAGGGAGAGACCAGAGATAGACAAGAGGGAGACCAGAGGGAGACCAGAGGGAGACCAGAGGGAGAGACCAGAGATAGACAAGAGGGAGACCAGAGGGAGACCAGAGGGAGACCAGAGGGAGACCAGAGGGAGACCAGAGGGAGACCAGAGGGAGACCAGAGGGAGACCAGAGGGAGACCAGAGGGAGACAAGAGAGAGACCAGAGGGAGAGACCAGAGATAGACAAGAGGGAGACCAGAGGGAGACCAGGGAGAGACCAGAGGGAGACCAGGGAGAGACCAGGGAGAGACCAGGGAGAAAACAATAACACATAAGAAAGGGTGAACTCCAGATTAAAGGCGCTATACCCGTTTCTGTAAGGTTTGAATGTTTAGCACCGCCCCCAACTCGCTCAATGGCTTCTCATTTCCCCTACGCTCTCATAACACGGAGCCACCTAGTTTTATTTGCGATCTGATACATATGCTAACATTAGCATTAGCGCAACTTCTTGTAAGCTGTGCAACAATCACTGATGAAATAGTACTAAAGCAACGCACTGCTAACACAATATATTAGGTAAAAGAATACCGCTAGTTTTGCGTCCGAATGTATTAATTTAACATTAGAATATATTAGAATATTTAATTATAATTTATTATACAGCTCCTCACAGCAGCAGCAGAACACTCCAGTGACTTGAATGTAATTCTACCGATCATTTTTTCTTGATAACAGAACTCTCAAACCAATAATGACCGCTGCCCTTTGACAACGCAATCTCTGTTTGTAATTCAGGTGTGTAAAATACTGACATTACTTTGCAAGTACAACAAGCTATCAGCGCTTGTCACTACATTGTGCAGTTTTCTGCACACTTGTCTGTGTAGAGAAGCTAGCGGAGCTAGCCACGCTCAATAAACAAATACATATCAATCAATCGACACCATTAAATGTTAATCGGACAATACAGTATACATATACATCCTTAACACACATGCACGGACGATTTCAGAATTTGGTGTTAACGTTTTCATGACAAAAATACTGTTTTAATCTGACAAAAAGTGATCGTGAAAACCCCGGAAGTAACCATTAACATGAAACGAACATTTTAGGACACATTTGAGGAGGATCTGATGGATTTAGGTTCGGTATATAAATGGGTAACTCACCGCTGATGTTCAGAATTCTTTGTTCAGTTTTTATGTAGTTCTAAGTTTTTGAACTAGCTAGCTTAGTTAAAAAACTAAGCTAGCTAGCACGTCACGGTGAAACCTTTGTGAGCTAACTATTTTATTTGCAGTCATTAAATACATTTCGAATTATAAGGGCTGTCTAATATTTGTTCGAATATATATATATTTTTCTAATTTTAGAATTATATTCGAATTTAGAGGCCGAAGCCCTAGTGTAGAGGCTAGAGGACGCAGGCTGTTCGCTGCTCGTTCTGTGAGTGGAGGAGAACGAGCGTCCCGCTCAGACTCTACTCAGCACTTTTCACGGCAGCAAACTCATACACCGCTGAATCAATTACCTCAAGTTTTTAATTAAATTATAGATTATAATACAACCTGTATGTAGTAATAAGCATTTTTATGAACTACTTAGAAAAAAAATCGGGTATAGCTTCTTTAACACTAGTGCTCTACTTAACGATGGAACAATCACCTGAAGAAGTCAGAAACATTACATCACATTCTCTAAAAGTAAACTTCACTATGACTTCCGAAACTACTAAGTAATTAGTGTTAATTACAGCTGTAGTAGAGTAATGTGTCGCTGTTATATGACCAACCAGACGTGTGCGGTGGAATCAGTCATTACTGTATTATGTTTTTCAGGCGGCGGTGAAGGAGACGAAAGCAGACCTTCAGAGGATGATCCAGGACCGAGTGGGCAAAGCCGAGCAGATCCAACAGAACCTGGACCAGAGCAAAGTAAGAGACAGACCTGCAGCTGTGTTTAGCTCGGTCCATCATGGTCTCTCTCTCTCTGGTCTCTCTCTGGTCTCTCTCTGGTCTCTCTCCGGTCTCTCTCTCTGGTCCCTAGTCTTTCTCTGGTGTCTCTCTCTAGTCTCTCTGGTCTCTGGACTCTCTGGTCCCTGGTCTCTCTCTGGTCTTTATCTGGTCTCTTTCTGGTCTCTCTCTGGTCCCTGGTCTCTCTCTGGTCTCTGGTCTCTCTCCGGTCTCTGGTCTCTCCCTGGTCTCTCTGGTCTCTCTCTGGTCCCTGGTCTCTCCCTGATCTCTCTCTGGTCCCTGGTCCCTCTCTGGTCCCTGGTCCCTCTCTGGTCTCTCTCTGGTCCCTGGTCTCTCTCTGGTCCCTGGTCCCTCTCTGGTCCCTGGTCCCTCTCTGGTCCCTGGTCCCTCTCTGGTCTCTCTCTGGTCCCTGGTCTCTCCCTGATCTCTCTCTGGTCCCTGGTCCCTCTCTGGTCCCTGGTCCCTCTCTGGTCTCTCTCTGGTCCCTGGTCTCTCTCTGGTCCCTGGTCCCTCTCTGGTCCCTGGTCCCTCTCTGGTCCCTGGTCTCTCTCTGGTCTTTATCTGGTCTCTTTCTGGTCTCTCTCTGGTCCCTGGTCTCTCTCTGGTCTCTGGTCTCTCTCCGGTCTCTGGTCTCTCCCTGGTCTCTCTGGTCTCTCTCTGGTCCCTGGTCTCTCCCTGATCTCTCTCTGGTCCCTGGTCCCTCTCTGGTCCCTGGTCCCTCTCTGGTCTCTTTCTGGTCCCTGGTCTCTCTCTGGTCTCTGGTCTCTCCCCTGATGACAGATCTGTTGCAGAAGCAGACCCATCAGGAGGTGGAGCGGAGTGTGAGGAGGTGGTCTCTCCTGCTGTGTGCCCTGGAGCAGGAGCAGCGGTCTCTGGTGGAGGAGCTTCAGTCCAGACAGAAGGAGGTGGAGGAGGAGGCGCAGCAGCTGCTCTCTCAGCTGCAGCAGGAGGTGAAGGAGCTGCAGGCCAGAGGAGCAGACATCCTGGAGCTGGAGAGCACCCGCCACTCCCTGCATCTCATACAGGTCAGAGAGAGAGAGAGACCTCCCTGCATCTCATACAGGTCAGAGAAAGAGAGCAGAGAGAGAGAACTCCCTGCATCTCATACAGGTCAGAGAGAGAGAGAGACCTCCCTGCATCTCATACAGGTCAGAGAGAGAGAGAGACCTCCCTGCATCTCATACAGGTCAGAGAGAGAGAGCAGAGAGAGAGACCTCCCTGCATCTCATACAGGTCAGAGAGAGAGAGCAGAGAGAGAGAACTCCCTGCATCTCATACAGGTCAGAGAGAGAGAGAGACCTCCCTGCATCTCATACAGGTCAGAGAGAGAGAGAGACCTCCCTGCATCTCATACAGGTCAGAGAGAGAGAGCAGAGAGAGAGACCTCCCTGCATCTCATACAGGTCAGAGAGAGAGAGAGAACTCCCTGCATCTCATACAGGTCAGAGAGAGAGAGAGACCTCCCTGCATCTCATACAGGTCAGAGAGAGAGAGACCTCCCTGCATCTCATACAGGTCAGAGAGAGAGAGAGACCTCCCTGCATCTCATACAGGTCAGAGAGAGAGAGCAGAGAGAGAGACCTCCCTGCATCTCATACAGGTCAGAGAGAGAGAGAGAACTCCCTGCATCTCATACAGGTCAGAGAGAGAGAGAGACCTCCCTGCATCTCATACAGGTCAGAGAGAGAGAGCAGAGAGAGAGACCTCCCTGCATCTCATACAGGTCAGAGAGAGAGAGCAGAGAGAGAGACCTCCCTGCATCTCATACAGGTCAGAGAGAGAGACCAGAGAGAGAGAACTCCTTGCATCTCATACAGGCCATCTCATACCTGTGTTTTACACCTGTGTTTTTACACCTGTGTTTTACACGTGTGTTTGTACAACTATGTTTTACACCTGTGTTTTTGCACCTGTGTTTTTACACCTGTGTTGTACACCTGTGTTTGTACACCTGTGTTTTACACCTGTGTTTTTACACTTGTGTTTTCCACCTGTGTTTTTACACCTGTGGTTTTACACCTGTGGTTTTACACCTGGGTTTTTGCACCTGGGTTTTTACACCTGTGTTTTTACACCTGTATTTTTACACTTGCGTTTTTACACCTGTGATTGTACAACTGTGGTTTTACACCTGTGTTTTTACACCTGTGTTTTACACCTGTGTTTTTACACCTGCATTCTTAAACCTGTGTTTTTACACCTGTGTTTTTAAACCTGTGATTGTACACCTGTGTTTTTAAACTTGTGATTGTACACCTGTGTTTTTACACCTGTGTTTTACACCTGTGTTTTTACACTTGTGTATTTACACCTGTGTCTTTACACCTGTGTATTTACACCTGTGTTTTTACACCTGCGTTCTTACACCTGTGTTTTACACCTGTGTTTTACACCTGCGTTCTTACACCTGTGTTTACACCTGTGATTGCACACCTGTATTTTTACACCTGTGTTTTTACACCTGTGTATTTACACCTGTGTATTTACACATGTGCTTTTACACATGTGTTTTTACACCGTTGTTTTACACCTGTGTTTTTACACCGTTGTTTTACACCTGTGTTTTTACACCTGTGTATTTACACCTGTGTTTTACACCTGTGTTTTTACACCTGTGTATTTACACCTGCGTTCTTACACCTGTGTTTTACACCTGTGTTTTTACACCTGTGATTGCACTCCTGTGTTTTTACACCTGTGCTTTTACACATGATTTTTTACACCTGTGTTTTTACACCTGTGTATTTACACCTGTGTTTTTACACCTGTGTATTTACACCTGTGCTTTTACACATGTGCTTTTACACATGTGCTTATACACGTGTGTTTTTACACCTGTGTTTTTACACCTGTGTTGTACACTTGTGTTTGTACACCTGTGTTCTACGCCTATGTTGTTACACCTGTGTTTTACGCCTGTGTTATACACCTGTGTATTACACCTGTGTCTGTCGATGGTTTATGAGTCAACACTCTGTTACACATTATTCTAAAAGTGAATGTTCTGTGTGTGTCCAGAGCTTTCCGTTGCTGAGTAAACTTCCTCAGACTCGGGACTGGGACGAGCTGAGGGTCTGCTCTGACCGAGGACTGGGGCCCGTGAGGGAGGCCCTCAGCAACATGAGGGACCTCTGCCACAACCTCTGCTCTGAGGTGTCTGCTGAAGGTGTGTGATGGTCCCTCTCTGGTCTCTCTCTGGTCTCCCTCTGGTCTCTCTCTGGTCTCTCTCTGGTCTCCCTCTGGTCTCTCTCTGGTCTCTCTCTGGTCTCTCTCTGGTCTCTCTCTGGTCTCCCTCTGGTCTCTCTCTGGTCTCTCTCTGGTCTCTCTCTGGTCTCCCTCTGGTCTCTCTCTGGTCTCCCTCTGGTCTCTCTCTGGTCCCTCTCTGGTCTCTCTCTGGTCCCTCTCTGGTCTCACAGATACTGTTTTGTGTGTGCAGAAGTGGACAGTCTGGCGGAGCATGCAGTGGACGTCACGTTTGACCCGGACACAGCGTCAGGATGGGTGGAGGTCTCTGCCGACGGGAAGAAGGTGACTTTGGATTTGGTTCATTTGAATTTTTTGTGAAAGTCGTTAAAATCCTGAATAATCACAACAAAAAAGTCAAAACACAAAAATAACCGTTTTTTACCCAAAATAACGTCAAACTCCCGGGTCTATTAGATTCCCTCCTGCAGACGTCATAAAGTATTTCTTTAGTCTCTCTCTGGTCTCTGCCTGGTCTCTGGTCTCAGTTGGAGGAGGCCAGTCCCTGTGCTCCTCAGAGTCCCAGCAGGAGGCCAGTCCCTGTGCTCCTCAGAGTCCCAGCAGGAGGCCAGTCCCTGTGCTCCTCAGAGTCCCAGCAGGAGGCCAGTCCCTGTGCTCCTCAGAGTCCCAGCAGGAGGCCAGTCCCTGTGCTCCTCAGAGTCCCAGCAGCAGGCCAGTCCCTGTGCTCTCAGAGTCCCAGCAGCAGGCCAGTCCCTGTACTCCTCAGAGTTCTGACCCTGTGCTCCTCTTCAGGTGAACGTTCGGGCTCAGAAGAAGAAGATGGTGGTGACGGACTCGGCTCGACGCTTCGACTGCTGCGTCTGTGTCCTGGGCAGAGAACAGTTCACCTCCGGGAGGCGCTATTGGGTCGTGGAGGTGAGTGTCTCTGCTCCTGCTGGTCTTTCACTGAGTTTAAACAAGACTCGAATCATTCTGGAGCTTAAAGTTTGTTTAATACAACCTACACACACGACACAGGGGAGAGAGACCAGAGAGAGAGACCAGAGAGAGAGACCAGAGCAAGACCAGAGAGAGAGAGACCAGAGAGAGACACCAGAGAGAGACCAGAGAGAGAGAGACCAGAGAGAGAGACCAGAGAGAGAGACCAGAGAGAGAGACCAGAGAGAGACCAGAGAGAGAGACCAGAGAGAGACCAGAGAGAGAGACCAGAGAGAGAGAGACCAGAGAGAGAGACCAGAGAGAGAGAGACCAGAGAGAGAGACCAGAGAGAGAGAGAGAGACCAGAGAGACCAGAGAGAGAGACCAGAGAGAGGCCAGAGAGAGAGAGACCAGAGAGAGAGACCAGAGAGAGATCAGAAAGAGACCAGACAGAGGCTCTGGTCTCTCTCTGGTCTCTCTCTGGTCTCTCTCTGGTCTCTCTCTGGTCTCTCTCTGGTCTCTCTCTCTGGTCTCTCTCTCTGGTCTCTCTCTCTGGTCTCTCTCTCTGGTCTCTCTCTCTGGTCTCTCTCTCTCTGGTCTCTCTCTCTCTGGTCTCTCTCTCTCTGGTCTCTCTCTCTCTGGTCTCTCTCTGGTCTCTCTCTGGTCTCTCTCTGGTCTCTCTCTGGTCTCTCTCTGGTCTCTCTCTGGTCTCTCTCTGGTCTCTCTCTCTGGTCTCTCTCTCTGGTCTCTCTCTCTGGTCTCTCTCTGGTCTTTCTCTCTGGTCTCTCTCTGGTCTCTCTCTGGTCTCTCTGGTCTCTCTCTGGTCTCTCTCTGGTCTCTCTCTCTCTGGTCTCTCTCTCTGGTCTCTCTCTGGTCTCTCTCTGGTCTCTCTCTGGTCTCTCTCTGGTCTCTCTCTCTGGTCTCTCTCTCTGGTCTCTCTCTCTGGTCTCTCTCTCTGGTCTCTCTCTCTGGTCTCTCTCTCTGGTCTCTCTCTCTCTGGCCTCTCTCTCTATGGTCTCTCTCTCTCTGGTCTCTCTCTCTCTGGTCTCTCTCTCTGGTCTCTCTCTGGTCTCTCTCTGGTCTCTCTCTCTGGTCTCTCTCTGGTCTCTCTCTGGTCTCTCTCTGGTCTCTCTCTGGTCTCTCTCTGGTCTCTCTCTGGTCTCTCTCTGGTCTCTCTCTGGTCTCTCTCTGGTCTCTCTCTGGTCTCTCTCTCTGGTCTCTCTCTCTGGTCTCTCTCTCTGGTCTCTCTCTCTGGTCTCTCTCTCTGGTCTCTCTCTCTGGTCTCTCTCTGGTCTCTCTCTGGTCTCTCTCTGGTCTCTCTCTGGTCTCTCTCTGGTCTCTCTCTGGTCTCTCTCTCTCTGGTCTCTCTCTCTCTGGTCTCTCTCTGGTCTCTCTCTGGTCTCTCTCTGGTCTCTCTCTGGTCTCTCTCTGGTCTCTCTCTGGTCTCTCTCTGGTCTCTCTCTCTGGTCTCTCTCTCTGGTCTCTCTCTCTGGTCTCTCTCTGGTCTCTCTCTGGTCTCTCTCTCTGGTCTCTCTCTCTGGTCTCTCTCTGGTCTCTCTCTGGTCTCTCTCTGGTCTCTCTCTGGTCTCTCTCTGGTCTCTCTCTGGTCTCTCTCTGGTCTCTCTCTGGTCTCTCTCTGGTCTCTCTCTGGTCTCTCTCTGGTCTCTCTCTGGTCTCTCTCTGGTCTTTCTCTGGTCTCTCTCTGGTCTCTCTCTGGTCTCTCTCTGGTCTCTCTCTGGTCTCTCTCTGGTCTCTCTCTGGTCTCTCTCTGGTCTCTCTCTGGTCTCTCTCTGGTCTCTCTCTGGTCTCTCTCTGGTCTCTCTCTGCAGAGCGCTCTGACCTGGTCCCAGGCCGTGACTGGTCCTCCGGTGAAGATGAAGACCACAGCGGTGACGAAGAGCATCCCCCACACGAACAGAGCCAGGGCCCCTCTACAGCGCCTCACGGTGGCCAACCACGGCAAGCACAGCAGCAGCAGCGCACTCAGACAGAGCACGATACAGAGGACCGCCAGGGCTCCTACATGCACCGCGATACTCTGAGCACAAAGGGACAGACAAGACACATGGGTACAAGATACATAGGTACAAGACACACGGGTACAATACACACAGGTACAGGCCAGGAGAGACACGATACTGAGGACGGCCAGGGTCCCCACATGCACCGGGATACTCTTAAGACAAGAGACATAGGTACAGGACGCACAGGTACAAGACACACAGGTGCAAGACACACAGGTGCAAGACACACAGGTACAAGACACACAGGTACAAGAAACACAGGTACAAGACACACAGGTACAAGACACACAGGTACAAGAAACACAGGTACAAGACACACAGGTACAGGCCAGGAGAGACATGATACTGAGGAAGGCCAGGGTCCCCACATGCACCGGGATACTCTGAAGACAAAGGGACAGACAAGACACACAGGTACAAGGCACACAGGTGCAAGACACACAGGTGCAAGACACACAGGTGCAAGACACACAGGTGCAAGACACACAGGTGCAAGACACACAGGTGCAAGACACACAGGTGCAAGACACACAGGTACAAGACACACAGGTACAAGATACACAGGTACAAGACACACAGGTGCAAGACACACAGGTACAAGAAACACAGGTACAAGACCCACAGGTACAAGACCCACAGGTACAAGAAACACAGGTACAAGACACAGGTACAAGACACGGAGGTACAAGACACACAGGTGCAAGACACACAGGTACAAGACCCACAGGTACAAGACACACAGGTACAAGACCCACAGGTACAAGACCCACAGGTACAAGAAACACAGGTACAAGACACACAGGTACAAGACACACAGGTGCAAGACACACAGGTACAAGACCCACAGGTACAAGACACACAGGTACAAGAAACACAGGTACAAGACACAGAGGTACAAGACACACGTGTCCAAATTGAGTTTGAGTGTGTGTCTCTTTCATTACAGTGTTTTAGATGAATATGAGATTTATAATGTTGTGAATGTGTACCGATGAGCCAGAGGGGGCGCTGTGGAGCTGCAGAGACAGGAGCATGGTACGTCTTCTTTAATGACATGTTGATGGTTAGTGCCTCAACTTTCTATGATCAGAACTGGGAGAGTCACATGTGACTCATTCAAAGGTCACATGACTCACCATGAAGCAGACATATCACACAGACTCTAATTTAACACGATTTTAATTTGATCTAATTGTTTTCATTGTTTAAATAATGTTCGTCTGCTTTAACGACGCCCGTCTGAGTTTGTGGTCACAATTTGGAAATCACAAAGAAATGATTCAAGTTCAGATGACAGAAGAAAAGTAAAACATCCATTGAAATGTTTCTTAATTAAAGTTTATTTGAAGATCTCCCAAGGAAGAAGTATCTCTGGTCTGTCTCTCTCTGGTCTGTCTCTCTCTGGTCTCTCTCTGGTCTCTCTCTGGTCTCTCTCTGGTCTCTCTCTGGTCTCTCTCTGGTCTCTCTCTGGTCTCTCTCTGGTCTCTCTCTGGTTTCTCTCGGGTCTCTCTCGGGTCTCTCTCAGGTCTCTCTTTCTCTGGGGTCTCTCTGGGGTCCCTCTCTGGGGTCCCTCTCTGGGGTCCCTCTCTCGGGTCTCTCTCTCTGGTCTCTCTCTGGTCTCTCTCTGGTCTCTTTCTGGTCTCTCTCTGGTCTCTCTCTGGTTTCTCTCGGGTCTCTCTCGGGTCTCTCTCAGGTCTCTCTTTCTCTGGGGTCTCTCTGGGGTCCCTCTCTGGGGTCCCTCTCTCGGGTCTCTCTCTGGTCTCTCTCTGGTCTCTTTCTGGTCTCTCTCTGGTCTCTCTCTGGTCTCTCTCTGGTTTCTCTCGGGTCTCTCTCGGGTCTCTCTCAGGTCTCTCTTTCTCTGGGGTCTCTCTGGGGTCCCTCTCTGGGGTCCCTCTCTGGGGTCCCTCTCTGGGGTCCCTCTCTCGGGTCTCTCTCTCGGGTCTCTCTCTGGTCTCTCTCTGGTCTCTTTCTGGTCTCTCTCTCTGGTCTCGCTCTCTGGCCTCTCTCTCTGGCCTCTCTCTCTGGCCTCTCTCTCTGGTCTCTCTCTCTGGTCTCTCTCGCTGGTCTCTCTCTCTGGTCTCTCTCTCTGGTCTCTCTCTCTCTGGTCTCTCTCTCTGGTCTCTCTCTCTGGTCTCTCTAGGGTATCTCTCTCTGGTCTCTCTGGGGTCTCTCTCTGGTCTCTCTCTGGTCTCTCTCTGGTCTCTCTCTGGTCTCTCTCTGGTCTCTCTCTGGTCTCTCTCTGGTCTCTCTCTCAGCCTGAGGGTCTGGGACACAGAGACACACATGGTTCTGTATTGCACATTCTCAGATCATTCAGATTATTGCACCGAGGCGAAGGCTTCACCACATGTTGATAGTGAACCCTGTTGTTGTGAGTGTGTATCCTGCTGTCGTGAGTGTGTATCCTGCTGTGGTGAGTGTGTACCCTGCTGTGGTGAGTGTGTACCCCGGTGTGGTGAGTGTGTACCCTGCTGTGGTGAGTGTGTACCCTGCTGTGGTGGGTGTGTACCCCTGTGTGGTGAGTGTGTACCCTGCTGTGGTGAGTGTGTACCCTGATGTGGTGAGTGTGTACCCCGCTGTGGTGAGTGTGTACCCCGCTGTGGTGAGTGTGTACCCTGCTGTGGTGAGTGTGTACCCCTGTGTGGTGAGTGTGTACCCTGATGTGGTGAGTGTGTACCCTGCTGTGGTGAGTGTGTACCCTGCTGTGGTGGGTGTTGTACCCCTGTGTGGTGAGTGTGTACCCTGCTGTGGTGAGTGTGTACCCTGATGTGGTGAATGTGTACCCCGGTGTGGTGAGTGTGTACCCTGCTGTGGTGAGTGTGTACCCTGCTGTGGTGAGTGTGTACCCCTGTGTGGTGAGTGTGTACCCTGCTGTGGTGAGTGTGTACCCTGCTGTGGTGAGTGTGTACCCTGCTGTGGTGAGTGTGTACCCCGGTGTGGTGAGTGTGTACCCTGCTGTGGTGAGTGTGTACCCTGCTGTGGTGAGTGTGTACCCTGCTGTGGTGAGTGTGTACCCTGCTGTGGTGTGTGTGTACCCTGCTGTGGTGAGTGTGTACCCCGCTGTGGTGTGTGTGTACCCTGCTGTGGTGAGTGTGTACCCTGCTCTGGTGAGTGTGTACCCCGCTGTGGTGAGTGTGTACCCTGCTGTGGTGAGTGTGTACCCTGCTGTGGTGAGTGTGTACCCTGCTGTGGTGAGTGTGTACCCCGCTGTGGTGTGTGTACCCTGCTGTGGTGAGTGTGTATCCTGCTGTGGTGAGTGTGTACCCTGCTGTGGTGAGTGTGTATCCTGCTGTGGTGAGTGTGTACCCTGCTGTGGTGAGTGTGTACCCTGCTGTGGTGAGTGGTGCTTGGTGTGACTGACCCGTCCAGTGGAGGCCAGCAGAACGATGAGGGCCACACAGAAGCACAGACCCAGGACCAGACCTGAGAGCATCGCTGGGGTCTCCTCCACACAACGAAGACATCCTCTGTGCACGGCCTACACACACACACACACACACACACACCCACACACACACACACAGCGACACACAGATACACACACACACACACAAACACACACAGAGACACACACACACAGATACACACACACAGAGACACACACACACAAACACACACACACACACACACAGAGATACACACACACAAACACACACACACAGAGCGACACACACAGAGATACACACACACACACAAACACACACACACAGAGACACACACGCACAGATACACACACGCACACACAAACACACACACACAGAGACACACACACACAAAAACACACACACACACACAAACACACACACACACAGAGCGACACACACACAGATATACACCCACACACAAACACACACACACACAAACACACACACACACAGAGATACACACACACAAACACACACACAGAGAGAGACACTCACACAGAGACACGCACACACACAGAGGGAGAGACACACACACACACACACACAGAGAGAGACACCGAGAGAGAGAGACACACACACACAGACGCACACAGAGAGACAGAGAGAGAGACACACAAACGCAGAGAGAGACACACACACACACACACACACAAAGAGAGACACACACACAAAAATACAGATAGAGAGAGAGACACACACACACACAAACACACACACACACATAGAGATACACACACACAAACACACACAGAGACACACACACACACACAGAGATACACACACACACACACAAACACACACAGAGAGAGACACACACACATACACACAAATACAAATAGAGAGAGAGAGAAACACACACACACACACACGCAAACACACAATGAAATGTGATCAGATCTTTTTCAAAATCACACAGATGAAAAACAGAATCTTCTAAAACCAACCAAAAAAAGTCTTATTTTTATCTGAGGAATAACCGAGACTGAACCTTCGGCCTCTGGACACTTGGAGAGTAATTCTTTCTGAAACCCTGGTGCTACATAAATAAATGTGCCTGTTTCCTACCACTCGACATGGTTAGTACCTGGAAGC